GAGAGAGAGAGTCTCTGGGGAGGACAGCAGGAAATTCCTCGAGCTCAATAATCTCAGTGTGATCAGTCTAGACTGGGCAGAGCAGCGCTGAGGTCCATCCTGCCCGGACCAGTCAGCTCCATGAGCCCCTGCACCCGCAGACACAGAGCCCAGGGTTCAGGGGGCGCTGGAGGCCGATGGAGAGGCACGTGTCTGTCTGGACAGGGTCTGATTTGAGCGTCAGGATGCTTTGAGCTGCTCACATTTACTCATGAGTATAGACACAAATACAGAGCACTCGTGTTGCATGTGTGTTTGGAGAGTCACACACACACACACTTACTGGTATGAATGAGGAGGTGGCGCTGTAAGGAGAACGGGGTGCGGAACAGGGCCTTACACTCCTCACACTGGAAAGGCCTCTCCTCTGAATGAGTCTGCAGACAGAAAAATAGGTCAGAGAAGTGTTTTATTAATGAATCAAAAATAAGATGAAACACCATTCACGATACATTAAACTTCCATAATGTGACATATGTGACGAAATTGATTGATAAGATGAATAAATAAGCTTTCCATTGATGTATGGTTTCTTAGGACAATATTTGGTCGAGATACAACTATTTGAAAATCTGGAATCTGAGGGTGCAAAAAAATCTAAATATTGAGAAAATCACCTTTAAAGTTGTCCAAATGAAGTTCTTAGCAATGCATATTACTAATCAAAAATTAAGTTTTGATATATTTACGGTAGGAAATTAACAAAATATCTTCATGGATCTTTACTTAATATCCTAATGATTTTTGGCATAAAAGAAAAATGTATAATTTAAACCCATACAATGTATTGTTGGCTATTGCTACAAATATACCCCAGCGACTTAACACTGCTTTTGTGCTCCAGGGTCACATATTTCAGTGGCTTGTTGAGGTTGGTGTTACTTTTTCAAACTTCAGATTTTCTCTGGTGGATGATATTGACTTGGGTTATATTAACCACCCGGAAAACCCTAGAAACCACCGGGCAAAGACCTAGAACAGCGGTTTTCAAAACAGTGGATCATAAATGGGGTGTGGGGGGGACGGTAAAAAAATTTGAGTGAGAAAAAAAAAAAATCAATCAAACTTATTGTGCACTTAAAGGGTTATTTCACCCCAAAAAAAAGTTATTCTGTCATCATTTACTCACCCTCACATTGCTCCAAACCTGTAAGACTTTCATTCATCTTCAAAGCATAAATTTAGATTTTTAAGTTTGGAACCTGACAGATTTCGGAAGTCCACTATCCCAAAATTAACGCTTCAAAAATCTTAAATGCATACAAATGAAGCAGTTTAATAAAAAATCTTAACAGTCGGGGCAGCTGATGGCAATTCGACTGTGGTATCAAAAATGGAACTGAGAATTGTAAAATTTCACTTGTATCTACAAAATAGGTGTCATAACCTTATTTATTAAAAAGGTTACATGAGTCAAAAAAAACACTGAAAACATTTTTTTTTTTTCATATAATTATTTTTTGTGTGACTGTGTGGTAGGGCCAGTGCAAAGTTTGGCAAGGCAAGTAAAAATGTGCTCCACTGGCTCAAACGAGCCACGGCTCAAAAAAAATCAAATAAATAAATTAAGAAATAAATTAAGAAAAAATAAATAAATTTGATTAGAAACAATCATTTAATTTTACATTTACATTTTGTTGATTATAATATCACACTTTATATATAGTATTATAAATAGTTGTTATAATTATAATTGTAAAATATAAATAAATAAATAATAGTAATATACATTTTATAAATAGTTATAATTACAAATAGTATTATAAAGAGTTGTATATATGAAAATATAAAGCAGTGCTTATATTTTTTTCTCTCATATCTGAGAGACAATGGCATCAAACACTTTGAAAACTCCTGATCTGGCATCAGCAAAATTGTACAAGCAAAATACCATTCATATTTAGTTCAAAACATAAAAATGAAGTGAATGCTACGTCTCCTTGGTCAAATCAGCATAAAGCAAAAAGTAAAAGCGGAGAATATTATTATATTTTAAAAGTTTTCATATTTATTTCTTAAAAGATTGGAGTCATTTGTTAAGAAAGTAAATATTATCCTTCTAGATCTGAATGTTGCTTTCTGTGCTCTTTTCTCTATTTCACACACTGTCTCTGTTCAGAGCTGTGTGGGGTTTTGGGGTTAATGCTATCTGCAGGGTGTAAAGGTCAGGGATCGCACGGGGTCATTACAGGTCATGGTTAGGCTGAAGGTTTTGATTAGGCTCCACAGTGGCTGATTGGGCTCCAGATCTCCATTAAGATAAGATGCCAGCAGTTTATTTGGCCAAAAATCTGTCAGTCTCCCTGTCCATCCAACCATCTGTCGTTCCCGTTTAATTCTTCCACTCTGCGTGGCTTTGAACTGGAACAAACGAAGGCCTCTCATGACATCAAGAACAAACACACACACACACACACACTAATCGGTACCTTTTTGTGGTTCTTGTAGACGTTGCGGTGGGCGAACTCCTTCCAGCACAGCTTACACTTGTACGGTTTATCCTCACTGTGGATGATCTTGTGAGCCGTGGCCTGATCCAGACGCTTAAAGCTTCGGCTGCAGATGTCACAGGTGTACGGACGCTTTTCTACACACACGTTACAAATAACAAACCAACACCATCTTTAGTATACTAGTTTTTACAGTTGGAATTATTTGTATGTGAGTGCATATTCTTTACCAGAGTGTGTGATCATGTGTCGCTTCAACTGATTCGTGGAGATGAACTTTTTATCACAGTCAGTACAGTCAAATACCTCATGAACCTGAAAATACACCAAATTTCATAAGATCCAAGTACAAAAAATACAAAATACTGTGAAACTGAAAAATGAATTTTCTGGTATTATTTAATCACGCTCATGTCGCTTCAAACATGTATTGATTTCTTGCTTTTGTGAAACACAAAAGAAGATATTTCAAAGAATGTTGCTAACCCACCAATTTTGGTTACCATTTAATTCCATTGTATTGACAAACTAAAACATTGAGATAGGTTTGAAATGACATGAGGGCCCTTTAAGGGCTCAAAACAATAACTTTCAAACGGTGAACTTTCAGTGTCACCAGTTGTGTTTAGTAACCACAAAGTACAACACACTGACAGCCCAGACCAGAATCGAGCGCTCTGTGTATGAACGTAATGACCAGAACACATCTGAGATGTTTTAATGGACCGTTGAGGGTGATTGTTGAACTCTTGGGTGGGAT